ATTTAAATTTTAGGGTTCACGAAAAATTATAAATTATTCTCCACTTAGGGTTCATAAAATTGGATAATTTGAATTGTTTAAAAAAAAATTAATCCTAATTTTCATAATTAGGGTTCTATAAATTAAACGAGACATGAATCAAATATGGGCATCTCTGATACCAATTGTTGAAAAATTAATAATAATAATAATAATAATAATAATCCTGATTTTGATTCTAACGATCAAACATAAACATAATCTCATACTGATAAACATGCTGTAAACTGAATGCGAAAGTGTACCTGAATTAGCCATAATGATGATGTCTTTGTAAAGCACTGTATTGATCTTATGGTCTTCCACCTGAAAAGCACATGTATTTCCCTCTTGATTTTCTCTCTTGATGGGGATAAAAAGAAAGGAACAGGAATGAAACTTAAGTTCTGTCTATGTGTTCCCAGAAAGAGACCACGACCCCTTAAAATAACCAGAATTAGGTTAATTACTTAAGTTTTAGTATTTTCAATTTAACCCCTCATCAAATTAAAAATTGCTCAATGGTTTCTACACAATTTTATTTTCATGACATATGCCTTTAGCCAAAACTTTAATTTAGTCCGATCACTTTATTATTTTGTTTAATAAACAATGACCCTAACACATTTAAATTATGTATCATATACATGATCCAAATTTTGCCAATCGTTTATGGCAACAATTTTCATATCAATTATCAACTGTTGTATGTGCAACCAGGTGGGTTCTTCACATGCACAAGTCTTCCAACCATTTATAATAAATGTTCCAACTCAATATCTACTTTTGTGATCTATTCTTATGATTCTCAATCCTAAAAAGGTTAAGAAACATTTGTTGGGTACATCCGTTTTAAATTGCCTTATCTTCCACATCAGTCCTTGGGTACAAGTCAAATAGTAGAATATAGTCTTATGTTGGTGGATAACACTCATCTAGTTTTCATTTCATTTAACACTTGTAAACCTTCTAGAAATTTCATTGCCATGAAACCTTAAAGTGAAAAGACTATCTAATATGGTGCTGTATTTTTCTTCCCTTCTTCATCTTTTGTCAAGAACTTAATGATTATATTTTGGTAAGTGAATTATTAACAAATAATAAAATAATTTTTAAAGGTATTGGTGAATAAAATAAAGCAATTTGCATACAGCATATAATGGTTATTTATTAAATGAAATAGTTATGCGAGTGGACAAATAAGAACTATCTTTTAAATATTAGATAAATTGAAAAATAAAAAAAGTAGAACTAAGATTTGGAAACAGAGTAAATAATAGTATTCTCATGATGGATTTAATCTCATCGAATCGAACATAAATAAATGAAGGAACAAGCGTCCCTGGTTTCGTTTATCAACTGCCAGGCAACCCAAATCAAAGAAAAAGCGAAGCTTCTCTGCTTCCCCTCCATTCCGAGTCAACCTTTTCCTCTCTCTCCAACTTTTTTCAAACCCAGAAAATTCCATGACAAAAAGAAACTCTGCTCCACCTTTTTTGTCAATAAAGAAACCCCCAAGCCAATCCAACCGCGTAAAAACCCACGCTTCCCAAAACGCATATAATCATTGTTTTATGCTCCCAAATCCAAGGCCCCAGGTCAGAGTCACCGTCAAAGTACCCCACACCATCGCGTTCACACTGCACCACACGCTTCCTCCTCTCTATAAATAAACCCCCTAAACGCTAAATAAATCTCAAGCGTTCACACTTCTCGAAAAACCACAACAACGAAATCCAAACACACCCCATGGAAATCAGCCCCATCCCGTTTTTCACCCAAGAAGACTACTCCCAGTTCTACAACCTCTTCGCAGACACAGAGTCCAACAGCAATAAGAGAAAGCGTAACAGTGAAGAAGACGAAGGAGGAGGTGCAGAACAAAAAGGGCATAATGGTAATAACAATAACAAGAATAATGATAGTAGTAACTTGAAGGACTTACTTGCTTCGCTGATTCTCTTGGAAGAGGAAGAAACCCGAGAAGAAAAAAACAGAATGGTTGAGTCCGAACAACACCGCGCCATGTTCAACGCCAGCTTCGAGAACCAGGCCCAGGCCATGGAAAACTACAAGGCCCAATTAAAAGCCCATTACGCCCAATCGGAAGAACTCCAAGGTAAAATAACGAAAAAAGCGCGACGCACGGTTGCTGCAGCTGCCAGTTCGGTTATTCTAGACGGTTCGGGTCATGTTCAGGTTCAGCCTCAAACCGGTTTAGAATCCGGTTCGACGGTTCAGCGGAGGCTGTGGGTGAAGGACCGGTCGAAGGACTGGTGGGAGCGAATCAGCCGGAATGACTTCCCGGAGGAGGAGTTCCGGCGGTGGTTCCGGATGAGCAGAAGCACGTTCGACATGATCTGCGACGAGCTCGACGCGGTGGTGACGAAGAAAAACACAATGCTCCGCGACGCGATTCCGGTGCGCCAGCGAGTGGCGGTCTGCATATGGCGCCTGGCCACCGGCGACCCGCTCCGGTTGGTGTCGAAGCGGTTCGGGTTGGGGATCTCAACGTGTCACAAACTCGTACTCGAGGTCTGCTCCGCAATAAGCTCCGTTTTGATGCCGAAGTTTCTGCAGTGGCCGAGCGAGGAAAAGATGAAGCGTATAAAGGAAGAATTCGAGGGCGTTTCGGGAATACAGAACGTGGGAGGCGCAATGTACACGACGCACGTGCCAATCATCGCCCCTAAAATAAGCGTGTCGGCGTATTTTAACAAACGGCACACGGAGCGGAACCAGAAAACGAGTTACTCGATAACGGTTCAAGGCGTGGTTGATTCGAGAGGCGTTTTCAGCGACGTGTGTATTGGTTGGCCAGGTTCGATGTCGGACGATGAGGTACTGGAGAAAAGCGCGTTGTTTCAGAGAGCCAAGAGTGGGAATTTGAGGGACGTGTGGATGGTGGGAAACTCAGGGCACCCTCTGATGGACTGGGTGTTGGTACCGTACACCCACCCTAATCTGACATGGACGCAGCACGCGTTTAACGAGAAGATTGATGAGATTCAGGGCGTAGCCAAACGGGCCTTTGCGAAGGTAAAAGCGCGGTGGGGGTGTCTGCAGAAGAGGACTGAGGTGAAGCTTCAGGACTTGCCTGTGGTGCTTGGCGCGTGCTGTGTTCTTCATAACATTTGTGAGATTAGGAATGAGGCGATGGATGATGAGTGGAGTTTTGAGCTTTTCGACGACGAGATGGTCGCCCAGAACGGGATTCGGTCTGCTTCCTCCATGCAGGCCAGAGACCACATTGCCCACTATTTGCTTCACCATGCCCGCGCTGGCACTGCCTTTTTGTAGCTTTAGCTTATTCTTTTCCCTATTTCTTCTTCTACTCACGTTATTAGACACCATTTTGCATATGCTATTCATACCTCTCTACATACTACAACTATATATTTTATAGGTATACAATATTCTCTTTTCTCACAAAGCCCAATTCTTTATCTTTGAATGGAGATTCTGTGAATAATACCGAGGATGGGAATGTAGATAGCAAGTTGTGCTGTGTGCCACAATGTCTGACCCAAAAAGATAAAAAGATTCTATTTGTGCTCTTGACTCTTGTTGGTGCAGACTCGTTTCAAGGAAATTGTGGATTTGTCTCTTCCTCCCTAAGTTGGTAGTACATTGACAATTATTTTGTGTAAAAATATCCATTTAAACACAAATATTATTATAAATTCTCTTTGTTGAAACTAGTGTTCCAACTATTTTTAATTTAGATCATTATTTTTTCTTTAAAGTTTAATGAAAAATTATTACTATTGGTATTTAATTATTTATTTTAATTAATAAATAAATAAATTTTATTCATTTTATCTGTAAATAAGTTTGAAAATTTTACATTTGAAAATTTTACATAAATGTAAATTGAAATTGAGGATAAATTTAACAAATTTGGAATGTTATATTATAAAATTACGAAAGAAAATTATAGAAAAAATAATGTAATTTTAAAGAGTAGACAAAGATAAGTGTAAACTTCTACCTACATGTTATAAAATAAAATTCATTAACTTGAAGTAACATCATTTCTAGTAGTTAGGAAAACTAATGTAAAATTAATGATAATAAATATAATTGAAAGGACAAATATTAAAGAATTAAAGTGACGAGTATATGCATAAAAACTTTTCTTTTATTAATCACGAGGTAACCAACCCCTTTAACTTTCACCCTCATCAATTTTTTGTTTTTATTATAATGTAACAAAATGTTTACTGAAAAAGAGATTGAACATTCTCTATATATAGAAAAATCGGTAAAACTTTTGTTCAATGATCATACAATCTCTTCTTCGTTCATCATTAAATACTCCTAATATCTAAATGTCATTCTTGAAAAAAGATAAAAAATAATTTTCGTCAAAGAGATTTTTTTTATAATTAATCATAAAATTCTCTTAAATTTTTTAAGATCCTTATTAATTTAGAATCTTAATCTTTATTAGACGATATAATATAATAAGATACCAGTACGAAAATTTAAGATTAATAATTTTAATTATTAAATTAAAAAAAATAATGATAATGATCAAAATAATTTATAACTTTAGACCATTATGTGATGAGTGCAACATAAAATTCTGTTTTTCAGGTAATGTCTTCGGCACTAGTCCAAAAAAACGTGACATCAATAAAAATAATAAATAATAGGAAGTTGCACATAGCAGCACCTAAAAGGTTTGTTCCAAATTAAACAATGTCCAATCATCTCTCAACATTTGTCGTATAGAGAGAAAGACAGAGCCTCTTTCTTGTTTAGAGGGTGTCTTAATTTGTGTGCTTGTCACAACCATCACAATTCACAAACCAGGAAGAGGGAAGAAGAGAGAAAGACAGAGCCTCTTTCTTGTTTAGAGGGTGTCTTAATTTGTGTTCTTGTCACAACCATCACAATTCACAAACCAGGAAGAGGGAAGAAAAGAGAATAATAATAATAATAAAAAGTTGAATAGTTGATAGAGAGGGGTTAGGAACATGGAGAATCACAAAGTGGTAGAATCTATGCATATCAAAGAGGATGTAGATAATACCGTGGCAGTGCAGGAAGAGGAGGATCAGGGAGATGTGGGGTCGAGAATAACGATGGAGAGGGTTGCTGCAGCTAAGAAATTCATTGAGGATCATTACAGGTCTCAGATGAAGCACATCCAAGAACGCAAGGAGAGGTATAATGTTATACGCTAAGATAGTTTCTATTTTGTTGCGTGTTGTGAGGGGTCTTAGTTCTTTCCATTTTGGCCGTAGCTCTATGGTTATTGTGATAATTTTTTTACAAATTGTTTGAATGGACCATTGTACATGACAAAGTTTTATTCTCGTATTTATTAATTATGAAGGTAAATTTGTTGAGTGTTTTGTGTTTTGACGGTTTGTTAGATGGTTACATATTTTTAGGTGTGATACTTACTGTTTAATAATAATGTTGATTAATTCTGAATGGTTTTGAATTGTTTTAGTTGATGAAATTTGCTTCACGAGGAACCTTTCTGCGCTTTTACTTAGCTTATTGTATGAATTGACTTGGCGAGAAGGCCGTTTTTTTCTGACATTATTATATTTTTTCCTTTTCAAAGAAACTAGATTGTTTGTCTGAGCACTCTACGGCAGATTAGATTCTGATAATAATAAGTTTTGAAGCCTTCCTTTGTTTCTATGAGCACTCTACGGTATATTCTGATAATGAGAAGTTTTTGAGCCTTCCCTTCCTTTTCCTCCCATGCTCTGGGAAACATAAACAAAATTAATTGTGTTTTTAATTCCTTGACAGATACACTCTAATATATATAAAGTTGATTTCCTTATTGTAGTGAACTTTTATATGGCTGTACTTTTTATTCAAGTTATTTCTTTTTTTGTAGAATAGTATTCAATTTAGTTAGTGTTTTTATTTTTAAATTTTTAAGTATCTTCTAAGCTATGGAAATGGAAATGATTTTGATATTTGCAGGCGTTTAGAGCTCCAACAGAAGTTAGCATCCTCTCATGTACCAAAAGAGGAACAGATCAATCAATTGAAGGATTTAGAGAGCAAGGAAACTGAATTTATGCGGCTAAAAAGACATAAAATATGTGTTGATGATTTTGAGCTTCTAACCATTATTGGCAGGGGAGCCTTTGGGGAGGTAGAAATATATATGATCATATCAGATAGATAGTTCTTTATTTATTTATTTATTTATTTTGTTTTGATATTTAAACATGGTATTCGATGTAAGTTGGCCATATGGAAGTGGATAATACCCAATCAAACATTTCTGAATAGTAATAAAATAAAATGCTTGGCATATGGTTCTCCTTGTTGAAAAAGCTAACACTTTCATGTGTATCCTTTGTTTATTTTCTGCACAATCTATGTTCATAAGAAAATAAATTTTGATATGGAGTCAGATTTAACATAGGGGACTGGTTGCATAGTGAAAACATCCGGGTGGATTATTTTGAAGTACATGTATTTGGTATGTTTTGGGTTCTTTCTTTTCTACATTTTATAGAGTAATTGTCTCCTCATTCAAATTTGTTTTTCTTGTTCATCTTTTTTATGCACTCAATAAAAAGAAATGACCTAGTTTGGAAAAACCGGAAGGTACAGGTGGTGACAATGATGCCAACAATGTTCTCTAATAAATAAAAGCATTGTTGAATCAAAATCAAGGTGCTACTCATTGTTAATTAATGTGGTTGGGCTCAGATAGTCATTTATGATGAAAGTTCCAAGGCTTGCTTGATATTTAATAGGTTGTGTTACACTTGGAGATATTAGGTTTGCTTGGTGGTAACAATGGAAGGGAGGGAGTGGGTTCAAGTTCCCCAACTAATAAATAAACTAACATATTTGTTGATAAAAAAAGTGTTGTGCTACACTTTACAAAGGAATAAAATCATGAAAATAATATGATGTCTAAGAAAAAATTATTTCTAGGGTTTCTTTTCCTGGACTTTGGGATACCATTCTGAGATAGAAGAGATGATTGAGAAAACCTAATATGTTTGAATAAGTTTTAAATTACACTATTCTTTACTAAGTATTATGGTAAGACGCACATTAATTAAGATTTGCAAAAAAGGAAAAAAGAAAACAAGAAAATTATTCCTACACATATATGTATACAATTGTATGACACTATAATTGATGGGACATTGGGTATTATGAGGTGCCTAAGTCTCACATCAAGTAGTATGGAGTTCTTTGTGGTGGAGTTCTTAAGTGGCTTGGCTCTCCCCCTAGACAACTAGCTCTTAAGTAGTATGGAGTGCTTATCAATTGGCTTTAGAGTTGGTTGTAAATGTAATTGTCTCAAAAAGAGCTATTGGAGGGATTGGCCATAAAGGTGGAGTGAAGCGTAGTAGATTGCATCCACTAGAGACTTGGGTATTATAGGGTGTCAAAATCTCATATTGAGTGGTATGGAACGCTTGGGGAAGTACATAAGTGTTTTCAACATCCCCTTTGACAACTAGCTTTTAAGAGAGAGTTGCCCAAGTACTAATCAAAACAATCAATTTTGTGTAGAAGAAAATATGTGAGTATCTCTTAGAAAGTGGGCTTTCAGCTTATTTCAACCCTTTGAAATCAACTTTTCAACCCTTTGAAATCAACTTAAAAGATGAAGTTTGTATAATATCATCTTAAAAAATGGATCTTTAAATTTAACTCAATCCTACAAAACCAATTTATAACATGAGCTTTGCACCTACTTATAATTTAAAATATGAGCTTTGCACCTACTTATATAGTATAATTTGGTCATATTTCTAGTGGATATGTTTAATCTTATAGAGTTCAATTTTCATTAATACAGGAGAATAAGTTATTATTATCATTATTATTTTAGAAATCTTTCTTTTGTAAATGATACTAATACCTTTAAAGAACACACAAATGAAAACTGTGTTCCAACAAAACTTAGGATTTCTTTATGCTTTTTCCCTACTCTAATACATTTAGGATTCTCTGAATATGACAGCTAATCATGGATTCTAGAAAATGAAACGTAGATTCCTTACTAATTATATGTACAAAAAGATGGTTTGATTTGACTTTTGATTGTAGTTTTATCAAATATATTTTCTTTAAGTTCTTCTTCCTTTTTTATTTTGTGTCATTCAATTACCATATTCATATCTTTCCTTTTTCTTCTGAGTTGCAATTAACTAAGACTTTATCATTGATTATGTATGCTAGTCATAAGTGATGGTGCGGTTTTTAGAGTTTTGGATTGTCTTTTTACTTTTGTTTGTAGACCTCTCTACCACTGAAAAGTTTTTAAGTGTTCCATATGGTTTCACAGGTAACACTCTGTAGGGAAAAGAAAACAGGTAATATATATGCCATGAAAAAGTTGAAAAAGTCTGAAATGCTCAGCAGGGGACAGGTGAGTTTTCATATTTTCTTTGATTGAACGAAAGTTTGTTGTTTCCATTCTTCAAGTTATTATTAGCTACAAGAAAATTCTTTTTGCTAATATTTCTAAATTTCATCATCTGACTTTTATATTTTCTAATTCATTGGGTTCATTTCCATCAAAGGTTGAGCATGTTAGAGCTGAAAGGAATGTACTTGCAGAAGTTGCCAGTGACTGCATCGTGAAACTCTATTACTCTTTTCAAGATGATGAACACTTATATCTCATAATGGAGTACTTGCCTGGTGGTGATATAATGACTTTGTTGATGAGGGAAGAAACTTTGACTGAAACTGTGGCTAGATTTTACATTGCCCAAAGTGTTTTGGCCATAGAATCTATTCATAAACACAACTACATTCACCGGTTGGCATATTTACATCTTAATTATAATCTCGGTGTTATAAATCCTAATTTTCCATCTTACACTTTTTCATGTCCCCCCAGAGATATAAAACCGGACAACCTTCTATTGGACAAAAATGGTCACATGAAGCTATCTGATTTTGGTCTTTGCAAGCCACTTGACTGCTTAAGTCTATCATCTATTCATGAAATGGAAATACTCAATGATGGGAACTTATATGATACCATGGATGTTGATGGAGCCTTGCCAAATGGCAGAAATGGTAGGCGCTGGAAAAGTCCCCTTGAACAACTTCAACATTGGCAAATTAATAGGAGGAAGCTGGTAATTGCCTTCTGACCATGCTCAGAAGTTGTATTTGATGCTTCCCTGGTTCTGATTTCTTACAAATTCATAATAGCAATATGCCAGTATATCTATATAATACAAAAATGGAAGTACATTTAACTTAGTGGTACTTAAACATGTGCCATCTTTTGTATGATCATACGAACCCCATGGCAGCAATATTCTTGGACAATTTAGTCAGTATGCAGAATTGTGGATCGATGTAAAAAATGAAACGCTCTGTAATTGCTTATTTCGCACTCAGATGGTAAAATTCTTAGCTCTTTAGCTACGTAGAAATCTCATGTTTCTCATTAATGGTCAATGAATATGTGTGGTAATTGGTATTTGTCTCATTATGCATGAAATGCTGATTTCAGCTGCATATCCTTCCTCCAGCTTATCTATTTGTTTCATGGCAGGCATTTTCCACTGTTGGAACTCCCGACTATATTGCCCCTGAAGTGTTACTGAAAAAGGGTTACAGTGTGGAGTGTGACTGGTTTGTTTTGATATATATTTTTTCATTTTCTGTTACTCTAGTTGCATCTATCCATTTGCCTGTGTTAATGGTTTTGTCATTTTGAAGTGAACGCACATGATCACTTTGCATTACTTTGCATTAAAAGTAGTATAAAAGCTCAAGGTTCCATGTTTTTCATCCAGACATTAAAGACCCTAGAATGGCTTGTTCTGGAATAGATCAATGGGTCAAGTATACCTTTTTGCTACGTAGCATAGGTTAAAATTTGAAAGTTAAATCAGTGCAATCAATGAAGCTCCTTACAATGTATGTATAGGAAAATTTTGAGAACTTTAATTGTTATGTAGCCAGTTACTTTTCTATTCTTATTAGAAGTTCAAATAGTTCAGCAAAGGAACTTATCTGTCCAGTTTTAAGAATTTGTCAAGACATTTTGGATTTTATGTGCATATATCAATAGGGATCACGAACATGAATTATTTTGTCATCTTTCTTAAAGAAGGATTAAAGCATTTGTGAGTTACCCATTTTGAATTATTTGAAGCACAGGATAGAACCTTTTAGAATCATTCGTCCATAACTTTATATTTAGTCCAGTCAAGATGTGCAACATCGGCTGGAAATATAGCCAAATTTATTCTTAGAAGGTTTGGACAATCCTATTCCCTAGAGTTGGTTTTTGAGGTTGAGTTAGGCCTTGTCTATTTCTAATAGATCCGATGAATTGATCATATCATGGTGGCATATCAATGCAATTATGATAGCACTTCTGCAGTTTATTGTCCAAATCTTATATAAAATGCATAATCATTTTATCTGCTCTTAGGCTTGTAATATTTAGTATCTAGTTCTGTAATTATCTTTCTGCAGATATAAGACGATAATAATTTGATTGTGTAGTTGGCTGACTTGTTATCTCACAATACTAACGTTTTGCCAGTTTATGCGATTCTAAGTAGGAAATAAACTGTGTTAGATGGAAAGAAGGAAGAAATATTTGGATAATTAAAAAGATGACAGTTAACCAAGGATAAAGATTTTCTACCACATAAATTGAATGCTGAAAGAAAAAAAAAAGGATTTTCAGTGTTTTGTTGTTCTTATGTGTCTGACGGCAGTTAGAAAAGTTTTTCAAGTTTGGGTTCACTTACTTTGAATAAACTAAATAGCCTGAGCTGCCAAAATTGATCAATATTGCCTTATTTTATTTTCATAGATATTATGTTAGGCCAAGAATTTTTTTTTTTTCTATATATTCTGCTGTTCTTCAAGAGAAGACAAGTAGTAGCATTGTGTAATTAATTTTTTTTATTATTCATAAAAAATGTTTTACTGGATTTAAGCTAAGATTATTATTCTTTATAGTTCTTAGCTGAAAAAAATTATGTTTCCCATGTAACTACTATATATTGCTTAAAGAGAAATTACGTCCTTTAGAATGAAGTATCTTCCTTATTGACAGAGTTATAACTTGCTGCAGGTGGTCTCTTGGTGCTATAATGTATGAAATGCTAGTTGGATATCCTCCGTTTTACTCTGATGATCCTGTAACAACATGCAGAAAGGTGAGAAAACTGCGCACATATAAAGAGCATGTTTCTGCTGTATAGTTCTTATTTCACTAGTCTTGTGAGATTTAGTTATTGCACATTTCTAATGGACTTTTATAATTCAAAGATAAACTCTAATAATGGGTACTTTGTCTTTCTTTTTCTAATTTTGGACGTAATGTGATTCATTCGTATGTCTTACTCTTGGTTCATTTAATGTCTTTTATATGTGACTTAGAATATTGTTTCTTAAATTGGTCTTGTGTTGTTATAATTATTGTCTGTATCTTTATTCTCACTGTAATTAGCCACAGTGCTCATTAATATTTAGGATGTCTATAGTAACAGTTGAAATTATGTGTGCTTCTTTTGCCTTGATGTTGAGTATCTTCAGATTGTGCACTGGAAAAATCACTTGAAATTTCCAGAGGAGGCCAGATTGACACCTGAAGCCAAGGATCTAATATGCAGGTTGCTTTGTGGCGTTTCACATAGGCTTGGCACTAGAGGAGCAGAAGAAATTAAAGTGAGTAAAATGTGGGTTTTTCTCTCGTAATACTATATTGTTAAGTCCTAATATTCCTTGATAATAATACTGGTTCTTAATTGACCAGGCTCATCCGTGGTTCAAAGATGTCGCTTGGGACAGGCTCTATGAAATGGAGGCAGCATTTAAACCACAAGTCTTTGGAGAGCTTGACACTCAGAATTTTATGAAATTTGATGAAGTAAGACATTACAATTTATGATTGCTTCTTTTCTTTATCATTTTGCTCCGAGGGTCTATAAGGTGTTTCTTTCCCTTCGCGTCTTTGTAAACAAGTAAGAAAAATGAGCACTTCTCCACCATATATTACTCAAATTCCACATTGGTCTTTCAATATCATTAACCCTACCCCCATCTCCCAAAAAATTCAAAACTTCTTATATAGGGAAATTGGACTATAAACACTGACTAGTTCCTCATAGAAATGTGCTAATATTTCAATATTGTGCCAATCTCACGCATTTATATGCAATCACACTACCCCTATTTGTCACCATAGTTGCAATGTATGGCCACATAATATTAGTTAACTTACCTTCTCACATATAATTTCATCTTTATATGTGCATTTTAGTAGCTGGAATTCCGACATTATTGTAATTAATTGTGTTAGCAGGTTGAACAGCCAAAAGCAACTAGAGCTGGATCTGGACCCATCAGAAAGGTAGAAGCTTTATTTACTTGAAATAACAAGAATTGTCAGACAATAGTCAATTAACTTGCCTCTAAGGTTTGATTTTATTTATCATTCAATTCAAAGTGAAAATTTTATCTTTAGAATATTTATACCATCATAATAATCCTTGGATCCTCTAACATTAAATCTTTAGATGGTCAAATCCTCATTCAACTCAGATGCAAGAATAACTGCATGAATATGTATCCATGGAACTTACACATCCATTTAGTTTGAATTAATCATCGTAATGTTGTTTTAGTTTTCAAGGAAAAATACATCTCAATATTTTTCTTTCTAAAGATATGACATATGTTTCAAGGTTGATGATGCTTCAGAAACAACAATCATTTGATTCACACAGCATTCCATCAATTCATAAGCACCTACACTTTTCCTATGTTGACCTCATCAGTTGTAGTTGTTTACCCTAAATGTGTTCCAGGCTAAATATACATCGATCATGTTCTCTCCTTACAGTTTATTGTGTCCTCGTTGTTAACAGAAACTCTTAACTTCTCAAGATCTCAGTTTTGTTGGTTATACATATAAGAATTTTGCTGCTGTCAAGGGGATGCGTCCATCTACTGGTGGGTATTTTTTGTCCTGAAGTACAATGCTACAACTTCATCTTCCTTGTCACATTCATACCACTGGCTATCAGTTTATAATGCTATATTGTCTATACAAGATTGGTTGATTAATCTTATCTTCCTAAAATGACTCTTGGATTACAAGTACTGTGCATTGTGATATGGTTTAGAAACCGCAACAAAAATATTAAATAACAAACTAGTGGATGAATGAATATGTAATTGTTATTGGAGCATCTTTAATAGGAGGTGTTTATTAAAATGCTTAAATAAAGTATTATTTACTTGAAATAATTTTTTATTAGAAGAATCCTAAAAAACATGATAAGAAAATATAAGTCTATATTTTAGATTTTTTAAGATGAGAAATAACTCATGAATTATTCTAGTTGAACATGCCCTTACAATAATCATTTTTTTTTTGTTGCTCAGATATTCATGAAGTTGTTTTTTCTATAGATTATCTAGAAGGGTCCTAGGGTGTCCCCTATCCCCTTTTATTTTTCTCTTGTAAGCTACCTTCAATATATGAATAGAATATATACACAAGAGAGTAGCAAGAGACTCACTAATCTCTCTAAATCTTAATTTGGTATCAAAGCATATCTGATCCCGCTTTGTCTCTTTCATCCACCATCATCTGTCTTGCATCAATCACTATTCTTCGTTGTTAGGCGCTGCAAATGTTACTGATAAGATTAAGATTTGGTATTCCTTGGAGAGTGCAACCTAACCCAACAAGTTGCATGGCCATAAGCTCAAACACACTCCCTCATGAGGTACCTTCTTCTAGTGCTCTATCTGGCACATGAAGTCTACACATCATCATTTATTTGTTGGAAATTGTGCCTACCCAAAAGGATCACTGACTCGTTTTGGTTTTAGGTCCGGCCTCAACTCCCTCTTTCTCCTACTCAAGTGTTTGTCAAGCCTTTCCCTAAAAAATGATGCTTTCTTCTTCCTTTTCATAAAATGGCTTTCACATGCCGTGTGTTGTCTCTGTCTAGAACTTCCACTATTACAACATAGAAACTAAATGGCAAAAATTATTATCTTGGGCTTCCTCTATGGAACTTTGATTCTTAGAACAAGGTTACTATGATCATCTAGATAAAGAAGAAGTTGAAAAGTCAACAAAGAGTCATGCTCAATGGAAGAAGCTTGAATTTCGGTTGTCTTGTGTTATGGCAATATGTAAAACTCAACATCTTAGGAAACCATAGAACCTTTAAAACTTGTTGCCTCTTAAAAGGCTCAAAGCATTTATCATATTAATATGATGTTGCCCAAAAGATAGCTTCTCTCAACCAAATGAGTTATGATATGATTTCTCATGTTGTTAAAGCTCAAGGGAAAGTGGAAGTTTTATGGATGTTCCTGGATGTTGACTTTTTAGCAGGAATAAGGAAAAAACTTGACCAATTGCATATAGTGCTTTGACATTTAAGAACGTGGTATGGGTCAGATGATTGAAAGAACACGAGTCTCAAGGTCTTTACTATTTTGAAATGTAATCAGTTGTATCTTTAGTTGTAGTTTTGTCTCCTAAGCATGTTCATAATATGTTGGGTGTGTGTCAAAATTAGAACATTTGGTTCCAAGTCTCACAAATTTGGAAATGTTAGAAGGGGAGTTACGTTAGTTAAGCAAACATGTCGGGTCATCTTTTCCCAAGCAAACTGGAAATAAAGATGTAATTTTATTTTTTTTACCACTGTTCACTTAGATATCAAAGGTCCAAACCTTGTAACATCTTTTAGTTCATATATTTTCTTATATTTCTTCATGGATTTTCTAGGTTTACTTTGGAAGACTTAATGAAATATAAATCTAAACTTTTGTTATTTTTATGTCTTTTGTCAATGAGAATGAATTACTTAGCCAAATTGATTGAAATCTTTAGGAGTGATAATATCAAAGAGTATTTTTTTTACAAATTTTCTTCATTCCTATTATTATGATTATCAAACTTGCCAGTTAAAACTCAAACGAGTTTACAAGTTGAGTCATTCACGAGTTAACTCATGAATAAATTCGTATAAACTCGGAATCAATTCGGTCAAACTCAATTTGACTCACGAGTTTATTACCGAGTCGCGAGTCCACAAGGTTTCTTCTTCTCCTGCGTTCTACTCTTCTCTCTCCTCCATGATAGTTTCTCTCCTCCACACAACGATCCCCTCTACTCCGCACGCGATGAAATTTCATTAAATTCAACCAATAAAGTTATTGTGACAATCAAACAGTTTTGCAGATTGCCTTCAATTCAATAGTTTATAAAAAGATTAAATATATAGAGATTGACTATGATTTTGTCCAAGAGAAACTGCCATCTTAGGATATATACCAAATTTATCAATTTCAGCGATTAACAGAAGATATTTTAACTAAATTCTTGAGAAGATCAATTTCTATGTTCTAAGCTTTGTGCATGTAAGTTATATATTCCAGTGCGAGGGAGAGTGTTCAAATAATCCTTCTTTTTACTTAGCTTTTCATAAAGTTGTTCTTTTATGTATTATCTAGAATGGTCATAGGTTGTTCCCTATTCTATTTTTCTTTTTCTTTTGTACGGTAACTTTTATATATGAATACAATATATACACAAGAGTAGCACTACCAAGTTTTCTAAAATTTCAAGTGCAAGACCTAAATCTAATGGTATTTGATAGACAGTGGTCAATCTCTGTTGTGCATATACATAGGGAAGCAATTGTGTGTCAGATTATCTTATAAAACATGGGGTTCAGAATTTTATTCCTTTGTATTAAAGATGTGACTACCCCACCATTGACACCCTCCTATTGAGGGACAAGCTAAGCTAGTTCTCTGCTCTCTTTTTTTTTTTCCAATGAATGAGAAAAAGTCAGTCTTAAGCTCTGGAATTCAGATATGCAGTGCCTTATGGTGATGGTTGACATTCAGCTTAGTAAATATAGGATGGCAATTACTCTGCACCCTAGTAATTTCTATCTACACCATTTTTACCTTCTAGATTGACTAATCTAGAATGTGATTTGCCGGATTAGCCAATCCAAAGGATTAAAAATAAACATTCCAGATTAGTGCTAGAAGAATTATTGGGATGTTGCTATATAGGACAAGTAACATTGAGATGTCTTATGGTTCAGGCTCAGCCCAATAGTAATCGGGCCCTTCTAGTTTATACTAGGAACAAGAGAGAAATAATAAGGCAGTGGTGTAGCTACTGTTATAAATGGTTAAAGGGGAACAATTGTACAATCAGTTAGAAATACTGTTAAGGTGAGAACCTAGAGATCAGGTCAGTGGAGGGATATTTCCTTTGTGGTAAAAGAACTGTAATAAAGAATTAATCATATTCTTCATCTTCATTTCCTTGATTCTTGGAGATAATCCCCTAGGGAATTAGCCAAGAATTCCTGACAAGGTTTTATTTATTTCCTTATGAGTAAGCGTTTGATTTCTGCGAATGATTGCTTATCGTAAGCCTTTCCAGACATGCTAGCGGCCTCTGAATGTGAACCAAGTTAATAAGAAGCAAACAAGTTTTAATTATAAGTAGAATATTTATGCCTTTAAGGGTAAGTTGCTTATTCACTATGTACTTGTAATCTTGTAATGATTTAAAAACAAACAAATCTGAGGTAATGTCATACTTGGCTCATCACTAAATGTTAACAGAAAGATTAGTGCTTCAATCAGAGTGTCTTTTTTCAATAAACAACACATTTTGGTCGCCTAGGAATATGTTGAGAGATGACTTTTTGAGTCAATTTGATGGGGGTAGGGAGGATTTCAAATAAATATCCTTTAATTCATTTTTTTTAATAAAATATTTTTTTTTTAATTTACGAATAAAAAATTATCTCTGTGTCCCATTCCTCCAAACACACCAACATAACACTGGTCCCCTTTTTGTTGCAACACCAAGGTTGTACTTCAATATCATGAAATTGGTATGTAATAAGTAAATGAAATTTCACAACTATGCAAACTTGTATTATTGTGATATAGTCATACAGGAATTACTGCTACGTTGGGCTAATTATTTTAACTTCAAGTAGCTGAATCGACCTTTCCTTTCCAAACTCCGATAGTTCTGCTATTAATGGAAATTGCATATTCAACATGCTCTGTATGGATAGAAAGTAGCACAAACATTGGGTTTGATATTTCATTCCATTGCATCATACATATTTTATAGCTAACAAAGATTATACCACTTTTTGTGGAACGTGATACAGATTCAGGAAGAATGTCACCAGCGCGGACATCCGTTGACTCCACACAAAGTAATGGACCTAACTATCACTACTACTTCTCAATGTACTATAGTGAAAAATGTTCTAACTGAACCTTGTGCTCTAGGTGATTCTGCAGTAAACTATTCCAACTGATAATGGACAATACAAAATCATAGATGGTTGCATCCAATGAGAACACCTTTTCGCATGTAAACAATGACCCTATCTTTTTTCTTTTCCATTTTCATGTATAGACCTGTGTAGCAAATAGATGAGCATGGTGGTGGGCAAGCCTGCTTATTTTTCAACCACACCTTACCTTCAGTGCCAACAACCACCTATCATGCACAACTTAGTGTACAGGAATATCTGCATCACTGGTAGCTCCTGCTATATGTCAAAGTTTTGAAGTTAAAAGTACATATAATTGTAAACTGGTCACTCAGTCGTGACCACTTGTGCTCAGGTTAGCAAAGAAACATGTGCCATCACTTGTGCCAAGCAATTTCAGATTCTTTTTTTCCTTTCAATCCTCCTCTTCTCTGTAGTCGGCGAGTTATTTACTCCCCTAATGGTATCTACACTTAAGCAACCTTTTGCTTCCATCATGTTAGACGCAGGTCAAGTTGTTGAGTTATGATAATGTAATGTGGTGACATAATGACAACATCAAATCAATGGTAGTTTTGTTCTCATTCTTATTTGCAATTGTCAATGAATCGATGCTACACGATATTACTACATATTATTGTCTCGCTTCATCAGACGTGGTTTGTGTCACGTCATCGTGAATTACAATAATGTGCAAAATCTTTCTGTATCTAAATTTCTGAAGACTAGATTATATTTCTTTACATTATGTTTGCAGCGCTTCGTGACTAATGTACTTGGAAAAGACGTCGCCCCAAACGAACATAATATATTTTACCTCAATATATTGCACTTTTTAAACCGTCCATTTACAATTCCATTATCATTTTTATAGTGAATTAATAGATATTACAAGCCTAACTTCAATAAGAAAAGTCTCATCGGACGAAAGCCTTTATACAGAAGCGATTAGAGGAATGATTTGTAGAAACACCTGCGTACCTGAGAGAGGAAAATGGTCCTCCTTATAAAGTGTGATGTGGGTGACTCTGCCTGATGAGATGTGCTGAAGCCCCAGACGTGCATGGCATGCTTAACGACTTGAGTATCGCGAAGTCTGTTCATACACATTGTGGATCTTTTAAAGCTTTCAGAAGTATATTATTAAAGGTAAAAGCTGAGTTCTGGGTTGTGGATGTGGAGTCAGTTAGGATTCATTAATTGACCAGCTTAGTTTAGATTTGAATATATAATTTATGTTGCAGACTAGTTCATGCTCGTCATAACAATAAATACTAGTACTGGGATATATATATATATATATATATATATATATATATATATATATATAGCTTAGTAAAGACACCCGTGTGGAAGTTGATTGTCAAATATCTAGCTTAAACCAGAAATGATTGTTCTTCTTCACAAAGGGGGGAAAATGATGGGGAAGAATATCTACAACCAAAAAAGCTATAAGAAGCGTATAAAATGGACTTGAAGTTTAAATAGCAGATGGGATATAAAATTCATAAGACCGTATCTGGTTAAAATATATACTAGATCCTACTGATTACTGTAAAGGGTCCTATAGTAATCTAACCTGTCTCCCAATATCTAACGTGGGAAATAAGTTATAGAAACGTACTATACCGTTAAATAAGTCTTTATCAAGGTTGCACCAGTAGGATCTGAAAGTAGATGTCTGACTAGACACATTCGCAAGTTATTCGGTGCTATTATGAACATGTAGAAAGCAAATAATACAAGATCTGTAGATGAGAGAGAGGAGCCAAGAAATCCCTGCCACATCCTGCGAAGAAAGAGCATTATACGATAATTCCATAGTAAGGCAATTTCTATTACAAAATTGCGGAGGGCTGAGGGCGTTTAGGCAACGGGAAATGATGCCAGGCATGCAACAACAAAAAGCAATAAATTAGTTTGTCAAATCTCAACGAGCAAATTAAATATTAACCTTTGTGCCACAAGGTCAACACTTATTACATTTTTAGGTAAAGGGCACGTAGCAAATGGATTTACAAAATTCCAGGTGTCTCTAGAAGCTTTTAGTAAGCCCAAGTAAATGAATACAATAAGTTTTGCCAAGAACTGAGATGCTATAATATAATCCATCTTACCAATACAACTTGTTTCCCAGTTAATCCAATTAGAATTAACTATGAGTTAGATATGCGGATTTCATTCTGATGTCATCTAATAATCATCACCAACGAAGTATAAATAATGTTTTAAATTGTAGCTTCAAATTTCAAATGAACCTTTAATCATTTCGACAAATTCAGGTCCCTGAAACAGAACGTCTATTTCAATGAACCTTAAATTTGTATCAGTGATGACATGACATTTTGCATTAATCCATAAGCTGGAGATAAATCAAGTAGTAAGAGGAGTGACAGGAAATAAGGCTTCAGCATGAGGTAAAGCTGTTCTAGGAGACCGACCTTCATCCTCAAAACTTGCAGTCGAGTTATACGGCCTACGATATTCCTAAAAGCTTTTACAAGTCTTTATAGATAGTCATCTCTCCTTAAGCTAACATTTGTAGTTGAGTTAAATACAATTCATTTATTGTATGATACAAAATCTATTTCTTGTAATACTTTATACTCGTATTTTGTATAAGTTTATTTTAAGAATTGGATGCATGTAATTTTATCAAGATTCGGACTGAAGCATGACACCTTTTATATTTTAATATAAAACTTAATGCAAATTAAATTAGTGGCTTAATTTTTTAAAAATAGACGGCAACCCACAAGGCTCCCACTTAATAAAGTATGGAGACGGTAGATATACACACCCTTATCGACGCTGTTTTTTGGTAATGTATGAACACCCAACCTTTACGCCACAAGGTAACAACTTCATCGTTTCGGCAACACTCATCCTCAGGTTTGATAAAATTCATTTTAAATTAATCAAATATATGTGTATATATATACACAAAATATTAAACCCATAAATAGATAAATTATAATACTTAGTAACTTGACAAAGTACAATATTTTAACTAAATATATGGGGACGTGATACTATAAGATAGTTTATGGTTATCTTAATGTAATTAATTGTTTAACATAACGATAAATATGATTTTTATATGATATTACTTATTCTAACACCTAATATATTTCTTATCCTATTTTATCATTCACCTCTGTGGTTATAACTATTATTATTATCATTATTTTTGTCACTATGGTCTTATTGTCTTTTAATAATGTCATAATTTTCTTTACCGTTGTGGTTATGGTTGTTATCATCTCATTTATAGTATCTCCATTATAGCAAGTATCACCTCTTTACCATCTTCATGGTTGTTATATGGATCACTCCCATTTTCATCGTTATTTGTCAAACTTTTATCACAACATTCATTTTATCATTATTGTTGTTAGCATCGCTATCATGATAACATCATCATAGAAACTATCACTACATTGTCACGATAGTCATTATAGCATCATCATCATCACAATTATTGTTATGAGAAATATCATTACTTTTAATATTATTACCATAACAACTATCACCACTTTCACCATTATTACTATCACTCTTATCCTCATAGTTTTCTTCACCATCACCATTGTCATTATTTAAGATCTCACCATCCAGAAATATAATTAAAATAGAGAGTATATAAATAGGTGTAAACCTTATCTAATAAATCAATTTTGTATGGTTGAATTAGTCTTAAGTCCACATTCTAAGATGATATTAGAACTTATATTAATGAAGTTTGTTGGGTCTTTCTAGTCATCCAAAATTAGATCGTTGTTGGACTACCCATAAATATTTATTTCATGGTCAAAATGTTCAGTACTCAATGTAAGAGTGTGTGGAAAATATTACATTATCTAAAAATATGACTGAAATAATATATATATATATATATATATATATATATATATATATATATATATATATATAAAAGTGAGTACAAAATTCAATTGATAAACTGATTTTGCAATATTAATTTAAATTTAAATCAACGTTATAAAAGTAATCCTTATCATTACTACCACTATTATTATAGTGACCATCATTGCTATGATTGTAACTACTACCTCGTGTCAATTCACACCACCGGAAGTATGTTTGTACAGTTTAACTAATTGTCCATTATCTTTCCTCTTCAATGTTTTTTAACTTCACGCTTCTGAAAATTCTACAATAAAAGATATTTTTACCTCATCAGTCTGTAGCTCTGTAGCTTATTAGCGTAAAATAAAAATTCATGTCCTTAATTACATGGAACATGGAAGTATTTCTTCTGTCTTTCTTAATAACTTATTCCATAACCAAAAAATTAACTTCTCTATTTTTTTTATGCATTTCACTTGTTTCAAATATCTTGTCCTTACATTTAGCAAAGCCTAAAAATATTTTTCTCCATCATTGGTGCCGCAGGTTTAGTAACCTTCACGCTCACTTCAATCTTGGTCTATTTCTCAGATACCTTGTATTGTCTCCAAGTCTAAAAATTCTTATATAAGGAACCACTTCATAACATTTCATTTTAACATTAACTTTATATCACACCCTTGCGGTCAAAATCCTAAATTCATTCTTCGGTAAATGATCTCTTGTTTCACCGTGAGTCTCCTTTGCTACCTTGTATCTTCGGTCATGTTGTCCATATAAAGTTTAGATCATTATGAAGATCCTAAGAGGCTATATAGGCTTTAGTGAATTTCGTTTATATAGATATCCTTAAGTTAAGTATGAGATCCATGTTATATTATTCTTGGAAAACATTATAATGCAAATTCCAATATATCTATCATGTACATGAGAGAAAATAAACCATACCAATCAGGTAAGCAGAAGAAAGTACGAAAGAATGTTCGAATGCCCTCAATGTCCAGCTGCAGAATTAGAGCTAATCCAAAAAGAAAGAATGCCCTCTGCCGTTTCCTTTCTTGTGGCCAAAGCGTATTCCAAGCTAAAAGAAAAAGAAAATTCAAATGCTCTTCAAAGTTTTTGGCAATTTACATAAAATCTATACCATAAAAAAATCTACAATTTTTTGTCGGAAAGTAACCGTACGAGGAAAGAAACAAAATAAGCATTGTTTACGCAATGTAAGAGAAACTGATCAACTTTTATATCTAATGCTCTGATAATGAGTGTACTTGATTACCTTGCATAGATAGATTCACCTTTCTTCCTTGAGTAATAATGTCCTTGGCACGGCCATCTTTTAAAATAGTAGCAATTACCGAAGCATATTTTGGAGCTTCGGACAAAGATCTCACAACGGAGTACCCTATTGGATAAAAACTGATATTGAATGCCAATAGATTATATAAGCATATCCATTAAATGAAAACATGATGAAGTCGTGCCTGTGGCTGGATGCACCATGCTGGCGGCTGCACCAAATGCAAGGTTCCTTTGTTCTGTGTTAGGTAACGATCCGCCAACTGGGATATAAGACCATTCCTACATAATAGATTAATGGTTTTGTGCACTCAACATTCAGATTCTATCTCAAGAGATATGCTTTAACGTACTAGAAGAACTTGTACGTATAATATTATTATTTAAAAATTATAATGTTGAATTTAAAGGGCAAAGAAAAAACTGAGCCTGAGGATAACACACAGTTATGAAGGGAAGAACAAGATTTCAGCTCCAAAACTGATCCCCATTTATGTGTGTATAATTCTATATCTTCGTATTTCAAATTTTTTAATCAAAAAGTTAAAAAGATAACATTAAAATGATTAAACTAAAAAAATAAAGAGTAAAGATGAAAGCATAATTACTCTAATAGAGTAACTTCATTTCTTTCATATAAACAAGAAAGAGATCAAGTTACTAAATAATAAAGCTTTAAATAATCATTCTTCCACCTTATCTTTTATTTTCTCTTAAATATTAGTTAGAATAAAAGAAAATAAAAGACGGAAATGAAAAATAACTATTTTAAATTTATTTTTGGAGTAATTTAATCACTATATATATATATATATATATATATATATAGTCTTAAAATACATCCAAGCTTGTTAACATACTCTTTCTAAAAATAAATAAATGTACGTTAGCAAATACTTGTAAGGTTTGCTTACATATACTCACTTGCCTTATTATCATAGAAGTGGACAGAACTGCCCAGTTCGACATAAAACATGTCCTTTATCCAGTTCAGTTGTGATGCATGATCGGTAATGCACCAAAACAATATTAAATCAGTGTGAAACCGGTCAAATAAATAAAATATTGGATCGATAAAAAATTTAATAAATCACAATTTATTTTATTTTTAAATAAAAATAACCTAAAATAATAGTAATTTTCATTTTTACTCTTCACACAAACTAGTTATTATTAATTACACTATGTCTATATTTTTGTATAGTTATTATTTTAAAAAATAATTTTTAAATTTTTTGTTTCTCTTTCCATTTTTTTCCCTAATTTCATATCACATTTTTTTCTTTCTCATATATTTTACTATTTTTAAATATATAAATCATAATAACATTTTTTAAACTACGATATTTTTATTTTTTTCTCACATAAAAAACAGTTAAAAAAATTTCACATTGCATATAATTATAGATTATAGATGAATATTGATTATATTATTGAAATTTCAATTTAGGTATATTTTATTTAAACTTTAAAATGTTAAAAAGTTATAAATTTATGTTTTATTCTAGTTTTTATCATCATGAAATTATGATATTATATATATATATATATATATATATATATATATTAATATTATTTTATGTATTTTTAATTTTTAAAATAATTTTATTAATTCTGATTTGATTTGTCCATTTCCGATTGAACCTTAAACCAGTGTCTAACAGCCTAAATAACCGATCCAGATTTAAAATCATTGGTATTTATAAAAGAACAAGTAGGTGTAAGCTAACAAACTCATGCACATATACAATCAAACCCAGCATTTCCAATGTCTTACCTCTTCGTAAGTTTTAGTAATTCTGATCCCCATTGTATTTAATCTCGAAAAGAGCTTCTTCTTTAGTAAATCAAAAGGCATCGCATCTTTTGACGCTAAACATGTTTCCTGCAATTGGCATTTTTACATTAAGATTAACAGAACTGGAAAAGCAACTTACAACACCAAACTGAAAATCATGGAGCAAACCTCAAAGAACACTCTTGTACGTGACATGGGCATTGCATAAAGGAAGGTTGGATAATTTGTTTCTAGACCTTGAACATTTTGCTTCATGTAGTCTCTGTAATCCATGAAAACCATCAGATTTGGATCATAAGGATTGTTTTCCACCTGATATTGTAACAAGAAAAATGTCATTATTATTACAAGCTATCACATCTTCTACGCATTTTTTTTAGTAAGACTTATACTAATTAACTTAATGGCATTAAGAAAAGAAGCACCAATTTTGGTCTGATTTAAACATACTTATAAACTGTGTTATTAATGAAATGTATTGACACCAAATAGTCAAAGAAATAAAAAATGTAGAGCTTCCTAGGTCACAGATTTCAAAATATGAATGGGAGAAATGAGAAGCTTCAGGAAACGAGAAAGGTAAACTGAAAAACAGAAATATAGAGCCAGCCTCCAACCTCAACTTCCACACCATAAGCTGTTTGGACAGAAACCTTTGGACCCCCCACCTCATATTGCAATAGTTTCCCTGAAGCAGCTCCTGATGCAACAGTAACAAGCCTATAATAACATGTCAGAAGTTACCATAAATAATAAATAAATGAATAAAATAAATAAAATCATGCGAGTGATCATACATACCTGCAGGGCACTACAATATCATATTCACAGACAACATGACTATGACCATTGCTGGCCTCGATAATACTTTCTACTCTTGAGCTAAGATACGAGACTCCTGACTCGACACACCTAGGGAAATTAATATGAATAAAAAATATACAAAAGTAAATAAAATTATTGTTATTAGGAAATTAAATTACAATTAGTAGAAATAACAGTGACACTAAATATATCACCAACAGTTGGACGATTATACCTGCTTAACAATTCCTCATGAAGCAGATGCCGACTGACACGTCCATAGGAACGTCCAATAAAAATGGGGTCCTTATTGTCGAGATAGACAATGGTATCCTTCCAAACATGCTCAATGCAACCTTCAAGTCCGAGACCTGAAATTATAATGATTTTTTTTATTAATGCAAAATATCAACTAATCAAGTATGTATTCTGGAAAGAATTTACAAGCATCTTACTTTTAAGGGAAGAATGTTTAAAACTCCAAATTCAAAACTTAGAAAATATCATAAAGTTTACTGCTCGTCAAAATTTATAAGCATTAAGAAATTCCAATTAAATGAGTTGAGCGTTATAAAAGCTTTTTTAATTCAACTTTCCTGAAAGGTAACATGAATTAGTTAGTTTTAATTTATATTAGTTTCTAGAGAGATCGATGTATTTAACTTTAACTTTTCATACACCTGAATGAAATTTGATAGGCATATTACTTAAGTTGACAAAGTTACTATTAGGAGTTTGCTCAAAAGATTTTCCATAAATGTATGGTATTGGAGGATGGTATTGCAAACAAAGGTAAGCGAAAATGTCAACTCTAAGCTTGAGCTCTAAGATAGATTAATAAAAGAATTTTCACTTGAGTAGGAGCAAAATAGAGTGTACTGTATTATCATTTTAGTAAGACAAAGAAGAAAAATAATCTGAACGTAAAATAGAAGATGGATGGAAACAGCATTTAAAATGAGTTGAAAAAACATATGATGTGACCCAATAATTGGACTTTGTGAGGGAACTTAGTTTGTCACTAATCAGTGAAGAAATGAAATTATTTATCAGAAAAATGTTGTGAACCTGATTTTGTGACAAAAATGTATTCAGTTAAAAATCTGTCACTAATAACTTTGTAATAGAACTGAGCTTGCTTTGTGATGGTTTTTCCATCACAAAAATAAATTATTTTATTAGTACAAGCTTATAAGTTTAATTATATGGGATCAATTGTATACAATAATGGAGAAATTAATAAAGTTGTCAATTCAAGATACAATTTAAGTGGTTAAAGAAAGAAATACATCAAGGTTTACTTATAACCACAAAGTACTGGATAAGCTCAAAAGGAAGGTTTGTCGTATTACAATACAATCACCTGTACTTCACGGTACTGAATATATCTTTAAAACCAAAACAAATGAAAAAGGTTTTAGTAGGAAAAATGAGAATATAAGAAAGATGTGTGTCGACACAATAAAAAATGGGATATGGAATAATTATAACAGAGATATTGGTATAACACCTTCTGTGTGAAAGACTACAAAATGGTTTATTAAAATAGTTTAAACACACACAAGATATAGCCACTGGAAGAGATTAAATTGTATGATTTGAAATCCTCTGTGAAAGCAATAAGGACTTTACAGGAAATTATTAAATGGAATTTTATGGTAAATAATACTTACGAGAATTTGATGTTTGACCGCATAACATGTAATCGACTTCATTAGTTACAATAAGGTTATTGTTATTATTCTAGCTATCGGCCGTATTGGCCATAGTCCGTATAGCTTAGGCTTGAGTGGGGTGGGCTGACATATTTCAAAAAAATATCACACCATATATAGATAACATCAGTGGAATGGTGCAGCAATAATGATACCTTTAAATTCGTCCTCCCACACGCCATAATTATTTGTAAAAGGGAGATCAGGACCAATCAGCCCAACTTTTAGTCCCAACTTGGCCGATTCAGCAGCCAGAGCAAGACCAGCCGGACCACAACCAATCACGACTAGATCCAGTATATCATCTCCTATAGGTGGCAACTGCAAGAGTGGTAAACAACAGGTTCTCAGTAGTAAAAAAAATGAAATACAAAACACAATTTAGTTAAGCATGTCCGCAACCGCAACCATCAAAACAGGTCTATCAGTGCATAAAACTTAATATGGACTGTCACCAAAGAAATGATCATCAGGAACCAAACCCATCTTCACATCTCAACTTCATTAACACAACTCAATTATCAATATGTCCTCGAGAATTGTAACGCAATTCCTCAGAAAGAATGAACTCAATCACCTTACCAGCAGCTTCTCAAGATGACTATGAATCACTTACACTTAATTTACGTAATATATCTATAACTATGCCTGTTATCAATATCATATTTGATCCCTATCCGTGAAGTATCGAAAGTAATTAGTGATAACAATAATTTATAATTTTTATATTTTAGAAACATCGAAAAAGGATATTCTCAATTTAGATTTTTCATGATTATAATTATATATTTACTATGTATTATGAATCTTATACCTATCATGATCAAAATAATTGTATCGACAATGGGATACATTTCGTATCTAGTACATGTATGGTAACTGTTAACAATAGAAGATGACGATCCAAACAAAAATAGAAGATACAGTAACCAAAAAGCAAAAGAAAAAAAAAAACGAACAAAAAAAAAAAAAAAAAAACCTAAAAACTATATCCATTGATTTTCAACCAAAAAAAATAGAAACATAGCACAAGAATTCATCCAATCCTCATGAACCTTTCAGGACCAATCATAACGAAACTCTACATTCAACAGAAAATAACAAGAATCAAAATCCAGCAAACATGAGAGACAGAACCAGAAACCTTATCCACGAGCTTGGATTGCATTTCCATGGCTTTGTTCTGTTGCATTTGGACAAAAACGAGTTCGGAGCCACCGGCCTTCACGTAATCCTCCTCATCGGCGAAGTCCTCTTTGGTCGCCACGCAACTCTCGCTCCCTGTCTTCGCCTCCACATTCAACCACCGCGAGCGCCGCCGAACACCGTGGCCGCACAACGCGGTTCCTCTTCTCCACAGCTTCTTCCTCCGCAACCTCAACCTCGACGAAGGACTCACACAAAACGCCATTGCCGCCATGTTTCTCGCTGCAACGCACTCCATTTCGTTGACGTTTTCAGTATACGGCACTGCTTTGGTAGTTTTTACATCACTCCTTCCTCCTCACCATCGCATTCAAGTAGTCGCATGTAAACACTAAAGTTGCAGCTACGGCAACTCGAGTCTTAAAACGACGACGTCTTCGGCTTCACGCTGATTGTGCGTGTTTTGTGAACGGTTGAGTTTCTGTTTCAGAGGGATATGGTGCGATGCTTCGATTTTAATTTGCTGACATGTTTAACAGAGATCCGAAACTTCCACGTGGCCTTCTTGGATTGGGAAGATGCAATAAAATGCTAGCCTTATCGGAAACGACTTGGATTGGAAAAGTATACAAATAGGAAGTATGCGACAAGAAAAAAAAAATTAAATAACAAATTGTGAAAACGAAACAATCTAAACCGTCTATTGGATTATCCAACGGGTCCAAAATCTAAACAAAGTTAACATTTTTTCTTTTAATTAAAAATAAAAACTAGTGTTTCCCTTTCAATCAAACATAATACGTTCCCTTTTATTTTTTATTTATTTTGTTATTATAATATTAATATTATTATTATAACGATAATTAGACCACAATATTATTATTTTTACCTAGCTCTCATAACCGGGAGAAAATAGGTTGAATGTTTACGAGTCTTAATTATTTAGAAGGGTTAAAAGTCCCTCAACTAACAAAATTTTTTTATGACAAAATAATAAAAAATTATAATTTTAAAATGGATAATATCTCGAATATATTATTATAATTGTAAAAAAATAGATTTATTTATATTTATTTCACTTAATTATTATGAAAGACAAAATAACTAGAAAATGATAAAATAAAAAGATAATAACTTACCGAAACTAACAATGATTTTTCTCAACTACTATATATAATATAAGCAAAAAGTTTACTCCTTTACTTAAGAAAGATACTTGTAATATGATATTCATTATTATCCTCTTAAACATACTATATCTCAAATGTCGTCAATGGTATTTGAGATTGAAATATTAATGTTAAAAAAATTATTTGAACCACTAAAACTCATTACTCTTGATTAAAAATATTATATTATTTAAAAATTAAAACCAATAATAATTTATAAACATTATTATTATTTTACCTACCCAAATGTCCTTTTAAGATAAATCATAATAGAATAATAAACTAAAAACTAAACAATATCTTAAATGATTAAACCTAATGATACTATTTTAGTAAAATATAAAAATAAATAGTAAGTAAAAGTAATTATGAATCTTTATTTATATCAAATAAATACATATATATTTTTATATTTTATAAATATAATATATTGATTTTTTATTTATATTTTATTTCAAATACATGTCTAATTAGATTTAGAAGAGTTTAAATTATAAACCCAACAAACTTGAATTCCTAAAAAAGACTATAGACCATATATACCTTCCATTAAAATTTTTAAAATTAAAAAAATGTAAAAAAAGGCAGAAACCCAACAAACTTGATTTTGTGTAATAAATTTTAACCAATGAAAAAAACAAAGTTACAATTTATATTTACATATATGATTATTGAAGTAATTTTTAGTGAGACTATTTTATTTGTTATTAAATAAAAATAATGATTTATTTAATAGAAATACAAATTTATAAATATCAATATTCCTTAATATTTTATTTAAAAATAATTAGTCGAATGTAATTTCTTAAAATCAAATCCACCTTTAATATCTATTTAAAATTTCCTCTTTTCTTATTCATGTAACATCATTTTAATAGCTATTTTTTAAATAATAATCCACATATTTTATTTAAAATATATAAAAATAAAATAATATCAATATTTTGTTAACATAAAATATAAAAAATACACGTAGCATTTGTATTTCAACTAGAATTTATAAGTTTAAAATTAATTTTATACTAAATATTTAATTTAATTATAAATTCATATCAATTTATGCTAGACGTAGGTCATCAAACTAGTCAACCTAAAAACATGATATGAATAATTTGTATCCAGAAAAACGCGGCTAAAGACAGAAAAAAAAAAAAAAAAAAAACAACCAGAAACGTTAACGCCGTTGATGTGTTCCGTACAAACGGTACTCAACAACACAAGCCAAAGCACTGTTCGGATCACGAGAATTGTCAACAAAAAATTGACGCCGTTGGATCCAATAGTTTGACTCTAATCTTTGAACTACAAAGTTCAAAACTTCATTTCTAAACCCTCTTTTTTCTGATTTCATCTTTCCGAACCAAAAACCCCTCAACTTGGGTTTCCCTCCTCTTCCACGTTGTTAGGGTTTCACTCTTCGTTCCGACCTTTCACCTTCATTTATTTTTTTCTGTGAATTAATCCCAACACGCAAGGAAAATAATAAGGCTTAGTAATTTAAACTAGAGTAGCATGGACTTGGAAGAGGAACAGGAGTATGAGGAGCAAATGATGGAGGACGAAGAGGATGAAGACGAAATCACGCAAGAAGACGCGTGGGCCGTTATCTCGGCGTACTTTGAAGAAAAAGGCCTCGTTCGTCAACAGCTCGATTCCTTCGATGAGTTCATCCAAAACACCATGCAGGAAATTGTCGACGAGTCTGCTGACATTGAAATTCGACCCGAGTCTCAGCACAATCCCGGTCACCAATCCGATTTCGCCGAGGTATCTTCCTTTTCTTGTTTGTTACGTGATAAGCACCCAAGCTCCAGCTTTTGAGGGTGGGTTCCAAGTGCTTAGATGCTTGGTATTGGAACTGGTTGTTGGTGTATTAGAAAGGAGTACCTACAGAGGGTTCTTACCAATGAGGAAGTTAAGTGACGTGTCACTGAGTGAAGAAGTTGAATGAAGTGTCACTATGTGAAGTAGTTGAATCAAGTGTTACTCAGTGACGAAGTTGAATGAAGTGTTACTAAGTGAAGAAATGGAGTGAAGTGGCACGGAGGGAGGAAGTTTAGTGATTTGTGACTAAGTGGGATGTCCCAGAGTTGACACGTCTTAGGCAGTACAATGATAGAGACTTGGGTGGTATAGAGTGCCTTAGTCCTACATTGAGTAGTATGGGATGCTCTGTGGAGTGTTTAAATGTTTGGTTCTCTCTCCTTAATTGCTACCTGTGCTCGGTTATCCTCCCTAAACAACTAGCTTTTTAAGGATGGATTCCTCAAATGCTTGGGTGCTTATCATTAGGTTATGTTCAATGCCGAAATTGGGTACCTGATTCGCTTTGCTGCCATGTAAATAATATCTCACCTTGTTTAGACAACAATTTTATTTTTGGAGCTGAAGCAAGTAGTGCTTTCTTTCCCTGACAATTATTTTTTTATTCATAGTTGGTTAGGCTAACTGTGGAAAAAATTGCTTGCTGTCTTTCACCCATTTTAAAACGAATTCAGGGTTGAGATCACAATTTCAGTTATGTAGTGTACTTACTTTTTGTTGTCAACAAACTTGTGATAGTTAACAAGTGTTTCTTATAGACAATCATTCTCATTGGAGATCTGTTATCATTGCGAAGCTTTTGAAAACTTTCTTGTATGCTAAACAAATGCCTACTAAACTTGTTAACTATCTCAGTCATTTTGTAAGTTGAGAAAAATGAAAAGTAAAAGGGACTGATGCCATGACTACGAAATTTTCAGATTGTTTCGTGAGGTTTAGAATGTTGGCTGAACATACCAGGAATTGTTTCTGCCTTTCATACCAATATTAATGATAGTTATTGATTCTGATACCTATACATCTAGCATATTCTATGTATCCACATAAGATATTGTAGATAAAATGTTAGAAGCATCTCCATCGTGTGTATGATTAGATATGAAGGTTATTTAGATAAAATAATTGCGTATAGCTGTAAGCAGCTACGAGATGAATGCAATTTCCTACTTCTTTAGGGATATAGATAACTTTTCCTGTGACCCACATCCTATTAAAATAATTGTACATAGTTGTAAGTAGTGATAGGATGACTAACAATAATGATGAGTTAATTCAAATGTCTTTTTTGCAGACTATTTACAAAATCAGTTTCGGTCAGATTTACTTGAGTAAGCCTATGATGACGGAGTCCGATGGAGAAACCGCCACCTTGTTTCCCAAGGCTGCGAGGTTAAGGAACCTTACCTATTCAGCTCCTTTGTATGTTGATGTCTCCAAGAGAGTTATAAAGAAGGGGCACGATGGTGAAGAGGTCACTGAGACTCAGGATTTCACCAAAGTTTTCATTGGCAAGGTGTCTCTTGATTCTGGATAATTCTACATTTAATTTTGTTATTCAAAGCTTAAGCTCAATGACTGATTAGTGATTGCTCTTTTCTTTTTGTTGTTATTTATTGGTAGGTTCCTATAATGCTTCGCTCCAGTTATTGCACGTTGTACCAGAATTCGGAGAAGGATTTGACTGAGCTTGGAGAATGTCCGTATGATCAAGGTGGTTATTTCATTATTAATGGGAGTGAGAAAGTTCTGATTGCTCAGGAAAAGATGAGCACCAACCATGTCTATGTCTTCAAGAAGAGGCAGCCGAACAAGTATGCTTATGTGGCCGAAGTTCGGTCCATGGCAGAGTCACAGAACAGGCCACCTAGTACTATGTTTGTGCGCATGCTCTCTCGGACTAGTTCCAAAGGGGTAACGCTAATTGTGCAATCATGTTTTCTTTTTTTTGTTGTTGAGTTTTATGCAATTTCTGAGTTTATGAATTTTAGCATTTCAGGGTTCTTCAGGACAATATATACGAGCCACTCTTCCTTATATTCGAACTGAAATTCCCATCATTATTGTGTTTCGAGCATTGGGGTTTGTTGCTGATAAAGATATATTGGAGCATATATGCTATGACTTCTCGGATACTCAAATGATGGAGTTACTACGTCCTTCTCTGGAAGAAGCATTTGTAATTCAAAATCAACAAGTAGGTTAGCTAGTTTTCTACATTATTTGCTCGCAAACAAGCTGATGCTTGCTTATCTAGTCTAGAATTTACAATAATTTAGAGTGAGATCATTATACAGTCCCATCCATTTCAGTCTCGGACTTGGTATTCCCTTGTTCAGGAGATCAGTCTTATTTTTTTTCCTAAATTGCATATTTCTAGTGTCACTTAGGTGCCTAAAAGTATTAAAATTCAAAATAGTTATTTAAGTCCAAGAGTTAAATGATATTAAGTAGTAAAGCCCATGGATCATAATGACTGTAAGTAGTAAGCTCCAGGGACCAAAATGACAGTAAATGTATTAAGATAATTTCTAATGACAGGACTAAAGTATAGTCAACTTACGCATTTAAGGGTCTTTTTTAAATTTTAATATTTTCAAGGATTAAAGTGGTAATGCCCAAATTCTTTCCTTTTATGAATTGCAATTATTGCAATATGTTTCTTTTACTGTACTCTCTTTCTGTGTGCTGTCATCTGATTTTGCAGTGAAATGGTTATTTATTTTTAATTTCCGATGATTGAAAACTGGTATTATTAGTGAATTATGGTGATGGTTGTTTCTTTTTAATAGCAGATTATTATGGTGGCATGCGATACAATTTTTTACACTCCATGTATTTAGCATTAGGTAATTTGGTTTGTTTTATAATAAATCCGTGTTAATTGCAGGTTGCACTTGACTACATTGGGAAAAGAGGAGCCACTGTTGGCGTAACCAAGGAAAAGAGAATTAAGTGAGTTTAGTTTCGTTTTTTAAAACCTCACCATGATTTGTGCGGTACCCTTTATTGAGTATGGGTTACATTACACTTGTATCATAACCTGCAGGTATGCTAAGGAGATCCTTCAAAAGGAGATGCTCCCTCATGTTGGCGTTGGAGAATTTTGTGAGACTAAGAAAGCTTACTATTTTGGGTAAGTTTATTCTTTTTCAGATCCTGTGCTTTCATTTTGAAGACATGGTGTATTTATTATACTACCATTGCCCTACAGATATATTATTCACCGGTTACTGCTGTGTGCACTTGGGCGGAGGGCTGAGGATGATAGAGATCATTACGGAAACAAAAGGCTGGATCTGGCTGGTCCTTTACTTGGTGGTCTTTTTAGAATGGTTTGTTTCTGATATTACCCAATTTCTTGTCTTTTTATGTAGTAACTTTCTGATTAGTCAATTCCTGGCCATTGTAACTTATGATGCAGCTATTCAGAAAGCTAACAAGAGATGTCAGGGCATATGTTCAGAAGGTTTGTTCTGGCTTCAAGTAACATCTGTTACTGTATTCATTTTGCATTTTGCCTAAACCTTTGTACCCCATGATGTTGTAGTGTGTTGATAACGGGAAGGATGTTAATCTGCAATTTGCTATCAAAGCAAAAACCATCACAAGTGGACTTAAATACTCACTTGCTACTGGTAATTGGGGACAAGCAAATGCTGCAGGGACTAGAGCTGGAGTTTCACAGGTATGAATTTAAATTATTGCATTATAATTCAAGTAATTGTTTTGCTATGTCTTCTATAGAAGAAATAAGACTAATAATTTTGATATTTGCTTCAGGTTCTGAATCGTTTAACTTATGCATCCACTTTATCTCACTTGCGAAGACTGAATTCTCCAATAGGGCGTGAAGGTAAACTTTCTTGGTTATTAAAGCATCATTCAGTCTTCAATCTTTCCGTCTCCACTTGTATATTATTAATGTAATATGGTACTGTTCTGTCACTTATTTCTGTAGATTCACTGAGTATGCACCATTGCAATACTGCTTATTTATCTAAGCTGTAATCTTTATTATTTTCTTCCTTCCCCTTTTTATTCCAGGGAAGTTGGCCAAACCAAGACAGTTGCATAATTCACAATGGGGAATGATGTGTCCTGCAGAAACACCCGAAGGACAAGTGTGTATTTTGCTTTCCAAGCATACTTCTATATTATTACTTGTTGGAACTCATCTTTCTCAGTTATTTATGAGTGTGATTGGACTGATATATATATATATATAGGCCTGTGGACTGGTGAAGAATCTGGCGTTGATGGTCTACATAACAGTTGGTTCAGCTGCATATCCTATTCTGGAGTTTTTGGAAGAGTGGGGCACAGAGAATTTTGAGGTTGATGGCCTTCGTGCATAAAGTTTATTTGTTTCTCTCTATGATTTCTGTGCTTAAATTTGTTTGTTCTCCATCCACATAGGAAATTTCTCCTGCAGTGATTCCCCAAGCCACAAAAATTTTTGTGAATGGTTGCTGGATGGGTATCCATCGTGATCCTGATATGTTGGTGAGAACATTGAGAAAGCTGAGA